TAGAAATGCAATTTTGGCTTAGAATGATCGATATTTGAATAGAGTTGTAGAAAAAATATTGTTTGCAACTCGGGCGCGAAATGTTTTTGGTGATCTCGAACGATTTTTTGACTCCGCTACGCGTCGTCAAAAAAATTTCGTTCTCGATCACCAAAATGACATTTCGTGCATTTGATACAAAAATAACTATTGGGTAGACACCGTTCCGCTAATCCACGCATCGTTGACCGATTAGATAATTTGAAGCTTAAACCGAATTTTTCTTGCGGTGCATAAGAAAACCTTATCTAATCCAGGTTTTCATAACTAATCCTCGAAATTAGCCCTGCATACCTGAGTGAGGTCCACCGATACATGACACACGTCAAGTCACAGAATAAAAAACTCCCCCACCATCAAATTCTGGGATACTCGAGGATCAAGAACACTAATTTGTTTTGTGAGAACGACGAAACAACGGAAAAATTAACCAATCATTCGATTTTCAAAAAAAACTACGCACTTCACGCACTTGTGACGAGATTCAACATACCTACCTTTGAAACTTGGTGAGTACACCCAGCGACTAGCCAGTCGACCCTATTCAAAAAAGAGGGGTGAAAGTCGACCCACCCAGGGGCCTTATTCTGTAAGAAACGAACCGTTCGATTCGGTAGAATTTCTTCGATTGTGACGTCATTTTCGGTTTGGTAGCGCGAAAACCAAACCAAAAATGACGTCACAATCGAAGAAATTTTACCGAATCGAACGGTTCGTTCTTACAGAATAAGGCCCCAGGGGGTTCACCCTAACGAAATACCGATAAAGTGAAAAAGTCTCCCCCTTGAATTTCAAGGGGGAAACTTTTTGACTTTATCGGTATTTCGTGCTTGAATATCAAAATGACATGTCCGAGCGTTTCCTATAATCGACCTTAAGATACCCTAAAAAGCCTCTGTTTCGATGTTCGTGAAACACCCTCCAGAGCTGGGCAAAGTCCTCAGTAAAAGGGCTTGAAGCACTAAGCCCTAAGCCCTCAATCAAAGTGCTTCAATTTCAAGCACAAATTCCTTTTTATTTTCAAAAGTGCTTCACAAGCACAAAGCCTTCAAATTGCTTTGGGCTTGACAAGCACAAAGCCCTCAAAGTGATTTGAAAAGTGCTTGAAGCACATCAAAAGTGCTTGGGGTGCCTTGAAAAGGGCTTCAAGCTCTTTAAATGTGCTTCAAGCTCTTCAAATGTGCTTGAAGCTCTTTAAATGTGCCTAAAGCACTTTGAATTTGTAATAAAATTCTCAAAGTGGCATAATCTACCGCGTACACTCATCACACAGAATTGGTATAGTAGAGACGAACTTTACATTTCACAGAGTAGCAGTAGTATGTTTTTTTTTGAGATGTAGTTCTGGGGTACTTTGGGTAGTTGGGATACTACATGGTAATTCAATTTTAAGGTTTTCAAAATGTTCAATGGGGAAAAGTGACAAAAATCCAGTGATAAAGTTAAATAGGATACCAATATAAATTAATTATTTTTATGAATAATAAGTTCATTCATTTTTTTTTTTAAATTCCATTCTAAACTCAACCCCAAAACCTCCATTGTTAAGAGAGAAAAGACAAGACAATTCAAGTTCAAATAATGGAAAAAAAAATTAAAGGACAAAATAAGATCGAACATTTTTAAGTGGGGGATAGGTTGAATGATGGTCAATTCAAATTCCTTTCAAAGTGCTTCAAGCCCTTTCAAAGTGCTTCAAGCCCTTCCAAAGTGCTTCAAGCTCCCAAAAGTGCTTCAAGCCCTCTTAAAGTGCTTCAAGCCCTTTCAAAGGGCTTCAAGCTCCCAAAAGTGCTTCAAGCCCTCTAAAAGTAATTGAAGCTCATTGAAAGGGCTTGAATTACTTTTTTGAATTACAAATTACTAAGCACTTTTCTAAAGTAATTGACTTTGCAAGCCCCAATTACAAATCTATAAAAGGGCTTGAAGCTCAGGGCTTTCAAGTCCTCAAAGTGTTTCAAGCACTTTCGCAAGCACAAAGCACTCAAACCCTGCCCAGCTCTGCCCCTTACCTACATATAAGTTATACCATTTGGAGTTTGCTCTTTTGTGTATTGTAGTAAATAAATTTTAAAAAACATGTTGGTTTGTTATTGAAAAAATGTAGACTTTATCGCGACAAACCAGTGGAAAAAAACTCGAACAGTCGAACAAAACGTAGCCCGCTTGATGAAAACAAGAGTTTTGGGTTAGTTTCAGTTTTGTATTTCAGGTTCTAGAAAACAAAAACAAAACACAAACTCAGCTGTCCGTTTAGTGGAAAACCGGCATACCTAACAGGTAGGTATTTCTGTTTGGTTTGCACCTTGTCTAAGGAAATAGGAAAAAACTTGGCACATTTGGGTGTGAGCGCTATCTAGTAGGTATTCTTTGCTTAAGCTAGAGAACAAAGAAAGAAGAGAAGGCAAATTACTTTTTAATTAGCTCGAAATTTATTGCGAAGGTCCCTCTCTCCTCCCTTCTCCTTTCCTCTTTCCTTCAATCATCATCGCGTAAATAAAAATAAACAGGTGCGCATGCCGCATGATCTCCCATCAATCACAAGCTAGTACAACGTTGCCACGCTATAGATTAATTCCTGTAGTTTTATTACTGTGCCTATTTCCCCTAAAACGAAAATACCATGATATTTTCTAGGTTTCTGGTGGTAAATATAAATTCATGCGATGTGAGAATTATGTTAAGTGTTCGTAGCTCCCAAAGCTCACAAGTCCCAATACAGAGTGATTCAAAAGTAAGCGGCATCCCTTCGGGGGCGTATTCCTTGTTTAAAAATAAGACAAAAAGTTCCTATTAACATGGGTCCAGAAATGCTTCATAAGGGAGCTACGCCCCTTTGGATAGGATACCTGAAAGACGTATTTTTCTCTATAACTTTGAAACCCATCATAAATGGATTATGAAAATTGGTGTATTTTATAAACATTTGATGGCAATTAAGATACTAAATTGAAAATTCAAAAATCTTAAACAGTGTCGTCACATACTGGGGACGGTGAGGGTTAAAACATCCCTATTTTTTTACTCCTCAGGGTTTTGCAGTTCTGATTGAACAAAAATTTTCAAAGTCAATTTTCTCGTAAACGGTACGCTGTATCAAATGGAACCAAGAGTACCTTTTCTGTGTAAAAAACTCTAAACTTTCCGAATGTTCAATCAGAATTGCAAAAACCTGAGGAGTAAAAAAATAGGGATGTTTTAACCCTTACACTCCCTAGCATGTGACGTCCCCGAAGGGATGCCGTTTACTTTTGAATCACCCCTAAAAGAGCTTCTGCAGCGTGTAATGTCTTAAACTTTTCATTCTTCCCCTTCAAAAATCGTGAATAGGCATGCGAAAGTGAAACATGCTAGTAGCGAAAGTGAAAGTAACTATACTAGCATGTTTCACTTTCGCATTCGCTCGCCTATGCAAGATAAAAAAGTCTACTTTCGTAGGGGGGAGAATGAAAAGTAATTTTATTTATCACTACCCAGGTACTGAAAAAAACTAAAACTGAAAATAAAAACGAGATTTTTGAGAACGCTTTTGAACTTTCCAGATCTGGTCACTTTAATCATGCACCCGCAAAGACCATGGTACTGGTAGCTATGATAAATGCTATAGCTCATAGTAGTTATTAACTATGGGTTCAACTATGTTTGGTGACCCACAGCCAATAGAATGTACCTACCTTGGAAGTGACTTGAGGTTGTGGGAAACATTGAGCATTAAGCTGAGAATTGTCATTATGCCATTGGTATACGGAATGAAAACACCCAAATATTTGCAATGGGCCAAGGCTATTTTAGCCACAAGACACCAAATAAAGAATGAGTTGGAACCGCGATCATCGGACCAATTCAGCATTACTGCTGGATTCAATGGAGATTTGACTAAACAAACCAGACCACTGAATATTCTTTTTATTTCGTATCTCAAACTTCTAAGCTGCAAGAGGCAGAGAAGCACCATTTTTCACCAAAAGAAGACAACCTACTTATATGATTTCAATGGGGAAATATAGGCGAGATGCAGTAGGTAGTAAACCTATCAGTATGCTGTAGGAGCATCAGGAACACTTTTTGATAGAGGATTCAACGATCATATGCCATTGTACACTGAGTAGTACAATCATGCGATCTATAGTTGTGTTGGGAATAAGCTTCCGGAAGAGTTTCCATATCATTTTCATATTTTGGAGAAAGAGCGGAAAACTTGAAAATGTACTTGATCCTAGGAGTGAGTCTCACAGTTCACAGTACTTTTTTTCTCGGAAGAAATGGTCTTTAAAAGATTCACTCGCCTGGTGGTAGAGTAGGTGGCCTCAATATATTTACTCTCGTGATGAATGTCCTGCATAATGGGTGAAGTATTAATTAATTTGCAATTATTAATTAATACATTTTCCAGTCTCAATTTTCCATCGGCTAAGGCTATATACATCATTATCTATCATAAGCTTTGGTGTTGAATATACGAATAATAACTTAAATTTCTCTGTTGCTATTATTCAGGCCTTACATTTACGTGGGAATCGTATTCATCTTTTTCTCCTTTATTTTTTTTTCCTATGCGCATGGTAGGTACTAGGTAAGTATAGCTGGAGCTGTAAGACATTCAGAATTTTTAGGGCAGCGATGAATGAAATTCGTTTACATGTAGAGAATAATATTTTTATTTTAATTGATGTGACAATAATGTGAAATGTTCCATCATATAATATCCAGTTGCTCATACTTATACATATGTACCTATACCGTCTATGCCTATCTTTCATGAACCAATAATTAAACACTATAATTTTTTACTTTGTCATCGCCCGACTTTTTAAAATGTATCACAATATCTAATATCATTTCTTACCAAATGATTATTTACATCAATAATTACGGGTAGGTAAATAATAATCAATAAAAGTAGTAGAAGCCACACTAAATATTTTGGCACTAAACAGAATCAGGAAAATAAATCCTACCCTGTTGGCAACACCGCACCGCATCGAGTTGTTGTGGTTTAAAATATGGAAGATGGAAGTAGTGATAGTGGAATACGGACAGATCTTGTAAAAAAGTGTTATTTTACTTTGCACGTGCACGATAAAGTGTTCGGTGTAGTGTAAAAAGTGATTATTTAATCATCCCTAATCCTGTTTAGTGTAAGTATTGAACTGCCACTGTTTATTTAAGCAAGGAGAATCGTGTTGAATCTTTATTTGCTACGGCATGCGACGCATTTTTTCTCTGGTAGCACGTTTCTTTTTTCTCATTTTGCTTTAAGTATAACCTTTGTATTTTTACTTTGTAGTCCTCTTTGGTTCATTCACATTTGAATTTACCGTATTATTGTATATTTGCTAAAATTTTACTTGAAAAAATAGGCCAGGGACAGGTAAACAGTTTCCATCCCTTTTGGCCTTCTGACAACCCAAAGGACCCAAACATAACAAAGGGATGTTCGTTGTTTGGAATATTTTTCATCATAACTGCTGGTTTTATTGTGTAGATGTTATAACTTGATGAGTTTAATGTAAACTTTAATTTATCGCTTCCATTTTCCATCATTAGGAGAAGTAGGTACTACCTGTTATTTTATTTTCAGGGATTTAAGTGATTAGGTATTTCCATATTATTCCCCTTGATAATTATTGAGTACAAATGAATAGCGACTTAATGGAAAAGAAAATTATATATATTTAAATTAACATGCCTAAGGACCTTAATTTATAAAATACCTGCAGAGTGTCTACATCATGGACTCACCACCACCACCTTTATTGTAAAATCTCTCTTTTTGACTGTTTTTCATTTTAACAATTTTTTTAGGTATTCAAAATGAACATTAACTGAGTACCTACCTAACTAAGATTTTCAGCGGTAGTCACAGCTGACTACAACACCAACTTTTAATGGGGTTCAGTTCCAAAAATTACTAGAACAAAGGGATTTTCAAAGAAACGGGGAATCTTACTTATGATTCTTTGACACCTATTACTGTAGGGAGTGTTATGTAGGGACATTATTGTTCTCAAATGCAGAGTGTGCTGGAAAAAAAAGTGTTTTAAAACTTATGGTGTTATGGACTTTTTCTCTGATTTTTTAGAAACATAATTTCATATTTGAGGTATTGTTGAACAATGAAAATTTACAGGTAGGTATTAGGTATGGTATGGGGGTCTATCAGCAAATACCTACCTAGTAATCTTTGGGTGTTTTTCTTTTAATTTTTGAAGATTTTGACGAAGGTAAAACAATTTTGGGAAATTTTTTAGGTATTTTGGAGCTACAGTACAAATCGACTAAGAAAAAGCCACAAATCAAATCAAATCAAATCATTTATTTCCAAAAAAATTAAATACAAAATTTAGACAATTCCTTTTGTACACGATTAACCTTTCGGTTTGTGTGTGTACATATAAATCTAAATAATTTCAATAAACATAATATCTTAGTTTCAGTCAGTGTGCAAGTACAATGCTATTTTGAAGTTTTTTGTTTTTTTTTTTTTTTTTATTTTTTCATTTTTTCCTTTCCCTTTTTCCTTTTCCCTTTTTTCTCCCTTTTATCAGAAACACACAGGTTTTTCAATTTTTTTCTTTTAATTATTATTATTAAGTGTATTGAGTGTATTATTGTTATTATAATATATATTTTTTTTAAAATTATTACAATAGCAAGACTAATATTTCATCTATTCTCTCATAGTGTGTTCTCAGCCATTCACTTAACTCCTTACTCCAATATTTAAATTCTCTTGATCGACTTTGTCTAAATTTAAGGGGCAATATATTTAGCACTTTGGGGCAGATATATCTGATAGATCTCTGGGTTATAGAAAAGTTTTGTGTTTCATATGGTACATTTAAGTTGGATATTGCTCTGGTTTTAATCTCATGATCAACAAAAGATGGAAATAAATTTGTTTTATGTGCAAACCTAATAATGTTTTTTAAATATAATTGTCTAACAGTTAATAAGTCCGTACTTTTAAATAAGAAATCAGTAGAAAATAGTTTACCCCTCCTTAGCATAACCTTTAGTATGTATTTTTGTGCAATTATTACTGGGTTTATAATACTTTTACAGGCAGCTCCCCAACAAATTAGGCCATAACCTATTACTGACTCTACAAGAGCCTGATATACCATTTTTAAAGCTTCAACATTCAAAATATCTCTCAGCTCATAGAACTTATAAACAAGTTTCCTTAATTTTGCGGCAACATACTCCACATGTACATTCCACTTCATATGCTGGTCAATGAAAACTCCTAAATATTTAGCATTTTACTGATTTTTTATCTTCACCTCACATTTACATGTTTGATCAGCATCACATAAGTAAGAATGTACTGTTAATTCTAACCTATTTGGAAGTCCCCGTTTATCCTTCGCAAAAGTCAAAAAAGCAGACTTGCTACTATTCAAAGTGAGAGAATTTATATCCAACCACAATTTTATGTTCTTCAGAGCATATTCTGCCTGCCAATAAGTGCTTTCCCAGGTATCACCACTGATAAGCAGAGCAGTATCATCCGCATAACAAATAACCTGAGCTGATGTCACATCACTCATACCATTTATATACATGATAAACAGAAGCGGCCCCAAAACACTACCCTGTGGCACACCATACTCCACAAGTTCCTCTTTACTACAAAATGATTTTAATCTAACTTTTTGTTCACGTTTTGTTAAGTATGATTGAATTAGGTCGTTTACTATTCCTCTAATTCCCATGTTATCAAGTTTTTTTAGTAGAGTACGATGTGCCACAGTATCAAAAGCCTTTGTTAAGTCTAAAAATATTGATAGAGTTTTTTTATTTTGGTTAAAGTTCTCAAAAATACAATCTTGTAACTTAAATAGAGCATCCTCTGTGCCACAACCCGCCCTAAAACCAAATTGGTTTGTCGAAATTACTTTGTTTTTATCGAGTCAATCATCCTCACTTATGACAAATTTTGCAATTATTTTTTTCTTTCTTAGGTCCTTCTCTTTTATGCATCAGTGGTGTTTTTACAATTGTTCAGTACCTATTCTGTGTAGAGATGCACGATGCACATGCTAAATAGTTCAGCAACACTCCAATGCTACACAACTGGTAAAGAAAAAAAGTCAACAATGACTTTCTTAGTTGAATCATACCTACTTCATCAGGCATTTTGAAAGAATTTCATTGGTATTTTCTGGAACTTGCAGTGGCTTGCAGAATAACGCAGATACAAAAAAAGGACAGCACTGCTTTGCATAGTGGCCAAAGTGCCTATAATAGGAGTGTCATTAGTTAGTATACTAAACTGAGTTCACCATTTTCCTCGCCATTTTCCAAGTCTGGGAAAATTTCCTTATCCTAATACCAAGTCCTAATCAGACTAGGAAAAATTTCAAAAGTTCTACAATGAATTTTTACTTAGCTTTGAAATGACGGAAAACTAAACATTTATTGAAAATTATCTTAGATCTTAAGTTTTAGCTGTTGTGAGGGAGTTGTTAGATCCAATTGGTTTGGAACGATGTCCTCATCATTTCCAATTTAAAGAGGGATATTAAAGTGTATAATCCTTCATTGTTCTGGGCACTTTTTTAAAGATTTGAATCAAAGCGAAACTTTGGCATCTTGTCTTATGCCTCTTCGAATGTAGATGGTACAACTTTTTTTCCAGCATTTTGGTCTAAGTATACCCTGAGTTCTTTTTTCTGATTGGGATGTATCAAACATTGAAGTTAGTGTATTCTATATGCTAGGTTTTTAACGATTTTGTCCATGCATTGTGAATATGAACGACTATTACTATAGTCTATTTTTTTGAAAGCTGGTATTATCAAACTGTCACCTTTTCGTTTATTGCAGGTGGTTCATTCACACTTCAAAGGATTTAGGAGATTAACATTGGTCGAGCATGATTGATTATAGCAGCTTTCAAAGAAATAGACTATAGTGTAGTTTTTCAGTTAATTCATGTAGGTACTCGTGTAGGTATTACTTTTATGTTCGTTTTACAATGGCTATTATTCTTGTATATCAGCTTCATTATTATCTGGTTTCTGGTTTATTTTTATTTTATTTCGAGTTTTATTTATTTTTAACTTTATTTCAGATTACAGTAACATACATAAAAATATACACATAAACTATGAAATGAAATAGCGTCACAAAAAAGACCTTACACCTAATGATACTCAGAACAATTACATTATCTTATATCCAGTTATATATAATTCAAATATTCTTGTATACTATATGGTTCCAACTCAATAAGTATTTTTTTCAGTTTACTTTTAAACATTTTTTCTTGTGTCATTATTTTTAATTCATTGTTTAGTTTATTGAAAAGTTTTATTCCCATGTAACATGGACTTTTTTCCAATAATGTTAACCTGTGCCTCGGAAAACAAATATTATTTGCTCTAGTGTTATAATTATGACTAGCATCAATAGCATTAAACAATTGCATATTCTTGAAAGTAAATAAAATTGTCTCATAGATATATAGAGCGTAAATTGTCATTATCCCTTCTTGCCTAAATATTCCCCTGCACGATTGTAGGGGGGACATTTTATACATTGTTCGTATTGTTCGCTTTTGAATAACAAATATATTTTGTGCCCTAGAGTTAGATGCCCAAAAAATTATACCCTATCTAGCAGTACCTTCAAAATTTGCAAAATACAGTGTTCTACGCGATGTCTCATTCATATACCTTGAAACAGTGCGAATGCAAAAACAAATGCTATTCAACTTATTTTCTAGGCGCCCAATATGGAAAGACCAGTCTAAATGTTCATCCACATGTACGCCCAAAAATTTGGTATCGTTTTTTAATGTAAGTTGATTTCCGTTGACTGAAATATATTCAGGTTTCTCTGTTCTGTTTAACTTGGTTCTGAATAGAATAGCATTTGTCTTCCCTGTGTTTAGGCATAATTTATTTTTCTTGAACCAATTTTCAGTTTCTGGGAATAAAAGAGAAGTTTTTTCAACAATTTTCTGCAAATTTGAGCCACTGACCAGAACATTTGTGTCATCCGCATATTCTGTTAATTCATAATCAATATCTGAGCATTCTGTGTTGATGTCATTCATAAAAATTATAAATAAAATCGGTCCCAGTATGCTGCCTTGGGGAACCCCTACTGTATTTTGCATAATCTCTGA